TGTTTTATGGATTACAATTTATTTCCACTTTGCAGTCAAATTTAAGAAAACCCCTCTATATGTTTGTTATGTGTTCCTATTCACACAGCATACTGAAAATTAACTTTAAAAAAAATTCTTACCGTTTAGATGTTTTATCAAATCAGGCAGTGGTCTGTCCTTATAGATAGACTTGGGACTGCAATTTGAGGTTGAGGTTGTGTTTATCTGATAAGCTTCATTAACATACAATGGGCAAACCACTTCAGAATCCTCACCCCTCACAGCCCCTTTTAACCATTTTAAGGGCCTGTTCACACGACGTCCATTTTGTGTGCTGACCGACTCCGTACGCTGCTGCACTCAAAATGCATCCCAATGTATCCCTATGTGTTTTATGGGCTCCAGTTCTCACGTGCGCAGTCCGTTCAGCTTACGACAGAAAAAATACTGCATGTCACATTTTGTCCGGTCCGGAAACGCACGAACGCGCACGAAACGCAACGAAAACGGAAACGCAACGCAGCTAAGGGGGGGGAAAAAAAAGAAAAAATTGTATTCTTGCTCCACTTATTATGATGTAATCAACGTTGACAAAAAATTAACTGTCAGCACCTGGACCGAGAACGCATCAAAAACGCACTGCATCAGCAGCTCCACGTCTGCTGATCAGCACCTGATCAGGACCTGATCTCATGTGAACAGACCCTAAAGGAATAGAAGCAAGAAGAAATTTGAACCCTTAAACCCGAACTCAAGTAAAAACAATTTAAACTTTTTTTTTTTAGCTTATGCTCTGTGAATGGGAACATGTAACAAATATACTATAGATGTTATCCCAATTTGCCTGTGAATGTGGAAATACACTTTAAATTGAATAATGTTTTCTTGCAAACTATCAAACTTATAGCCAATTCAATTTTGTGAGTTACAGTAATGTTTGGCAAAAAACGTGTTATACGGCGCACTACAGTGGTATGACATAGCCAAGTGCATTTCATCCCCCAACACATACTTAGGCAACGTACCGCAATGCACTTGCAGTTAAGTTCACGGAAATGCACAGATGTGAACCATCTTTTTTCAGTGTAGTGCACTGAAAAATAATAGTGCATCTCTGGTAAAATTTGTATTGTGTTGCCAGCCCATAAAAACAAATGAGCTGCCTTAAACCCCTGAGTCACCAGGCCTTTTTCTCCCAACATTCTTTTGAATTCCAGAGTAATTTATTTTGGTGATGTATCGGTTCAGCCCATTAAGCCTGTGATACACTGCATGCAAAGCCGTCCGGCACAGAGCGTTGCGTGCAGTGTGTGAGCCGATTGCCTGAAAGTGCAGTCAATCATCTGCCTGCAATCGGCTTGTGCGTAACAACCGGCCAGGCGTCGCATCCTGACGTGCGGGTTTATACGCGCGAGCCAATTGGCTGAAGATGAAATGTTTCATCTCGGCACGCTCAGCTATGCGAGCTCTCGCAAGCTGATGTGCTTGAGGAGAAAATTACATGACACACTGCTCGTGAAGGCAGCGAGCCACCGCCTTTACACCTTTTAGCATCTGTAGTCTACCCCAAAGTTATCAAGAGTTTTTGCGGTACAGATAGGCCTTTGATTTGGTAACAAGTTTGGGTAAATATATTTTTATTTCCTTGGTTTTTCTGGAAATAAATAATTAGAACAAAATTCAATCCACTGTAATTTTTACCAATGCATTTATGTAATTTGCGCACCCCCATATATTTACAGCAAAATATAATCAAGTTTAATGATTAAAATATCACATTAGTGGGACACTATTAGTAGCGTAATGGTGCGGAATGTAATGTAGGGGAATAGTGAAGCTCAAAGTTATTCCCCTTTTGACGCTACACTGAGACAAATGCAGAGGGTAAAAACGATTTGCATAAATTGTTGGTGCAACATTGAGATGACATTAAGCCATGTTGAAAAGGGAAAAAAATAGCGCAATGGTGACTTTTCACAGGTTTGCAGTCTCTAAAAACCCAAATGAATGTGCATTACTGACCTTTTTTAGGCGCATGAACATGCATTACTGACCTTTGTGTTTACTCAGCTTGCGCAGTAAACACAAAGGTCATCCGGATCATTGAACATCATTGTTGCTAAATCATTTTGGGATTTTTGCCATTTTGTAAATATTGTTATTATGTATAAAATATATATATATATATATACATATATAGCTATATTGAATTGGACTGGAAAGCTCAGCCAGCACAGCCCTAATGCAAAACAAGACAATGTGCCTTGTTTTGAATGGGCCCTGTTCACATCACCGTGTTGTGGTGGTGTGCACTGAAAAAAGTACTGCATATAGTACTTTTTTCGGTGCAGCAGGATGCCGTGCGGTACAACTGCTTTGCACAATGCTGTGCCTATAGAACTTAATGACATGTCACCTGCATTGTAGCGCAGCTGCAGGTGTGAATGGACCCTTAGAGTTAGTGTGTTGAAAGTAAACATACTTATTTCCTGAACACTTCAGTGAGGGAGGAGGCAAAAAAAAGTAATTTTGACATCCATTTATCTTTTCAAACAGAAACAATGAGAGAATTGATATTTCCCGTATGGTTGATATTTTATACATTTTAATAAATAATGTCCAGAAAAAAAAGAAATCAAAATGACAGCAATTTGCATTATTTTTTTAGGAAAACATACTGTAAATCAATTGTAACACTATGTTTAAAAAATACAACCAGAAAAAAAAAACATAAAAGCAAATTTCTTTTTACATTTCACGTGCAAATTTAGAAATAGTCACCAGTTTAACCAACCGTATTAAAGTGATCGATACAAAGTAGCTACTAAACTTGACAATGCAAGTGTCTGGATTGTAATCTCACTTTAACTACTTCCATAATGAATGGAAGTTATTCAAAATTACAGTGAAAAAGCCTCTATTGACCTGCAAGGATTTTACACTGTATACCTTACAAATGTCTACCCCAATGAAATGCTATAGCTATCCAATAACACATTTGCCCCTGAAGTGCCTTGTTTTGACTGTAATCGTTTGAACTATAAGAACAAATCACTTAAATGTCATCAGGCACAACATTTCTTATTATCATTTAATATACCATATGCACACACACAGGTGTAAAAGAACATTATCTCTTAGAAAAAGAAAATTTAAAAAAATGTCTTTAGCCCATCCCTGAACAAAGTTTTTGAAAAACAAAAAAACACAATTTAAAAAATAAAACTTATACTTTGTTAAGTACAAACATTTACATCTTTGCACATGTTCAGTGCTCAGGTCTTAATATATTCTTTTATGTACATAAGTCATTATGTGCTTTTTTTTTTTTTAGACAACATGAACAATAATTGTAGATTAAGAAAAAAATATTAAACCTAGATTTAAGGTCAGAGAAATTTTGTGCTTACTGTATGACCTCCTAAACCGTACTAAGCTTTGAGGCCTTCCAATAATGTGTTTCAATTGGGGACATTTTTGGGAACTGGTTTAAGAAATAAAGAGTACTGTAAAAACATTGATAAAATATGTCTATTTGGTATGAACAACTGGGCAAATTCTGTAAGATTTCACTCACTGAGCAAAAATAATCAACAAAAAAAAATGCTAACCCCC